TGAATATGAAAGAATTATATAAATGATGTGAAAATTTTTTAGAGATATTTATAGTGCACGTGAGAGTCATTTTTTTGAGCCCTAACTTGCCTATTAATAATTATTTGCTGTGTAACCTCTGTGGAAGCTATAATTTCAGCCATATGCATATTCTAAATCAAAAAGAAATAAGCACCATACAGTAGGTCTATAGCAAATACACGTGATCTAATTCCCTAAATCTACTAAATTATAGCATTAACATGTTTGTCATGCTGTGTCGTTAATGTTAGTGCTGTTCATTAGATGTGTCTATAAGCTATGTCGGTAGTTAGTAGCAGGCAATAACATGTAAAAATTGCAAGTCCCGTGATTGATCTGCAGTCAGTGTAACAAATAAAAAACAAACAGTTTTATCTGTATTTTTTTTTATGCCTCAACCTAAATTAGATTTAGACAACTTAGTAAATGCGATAGCATATTAAACAAAGCCGAAAACATATATATCGACTATCTATAAGTGCAATGCAAAGGAATCAGACGTTTAACGGATAGGGTTTTGACCCGTGAAAAATTATTCTAGTAGTTTATAAGTTACGATAATAATAATCAATCATCTGTTTATTAGTCGATTGACCATTTATTAATTGGCTTACAGTTTATCCGTTTAACCACTTATTGATTATTTAAACACGTTTAAATAGCTATGCATCGGAAATAAGTTTGTGAGGCTGCTTTTTTAAGCAAACTTATACATTTCTACTTAGAATAGAATCTGATTAGTAAACTTTATTTTATAAATATGAACAGTACATGCTATTTACCGTGCTCATATTTGTTTTCTTCAGCATAAGACACAAAACGATCATTAAACGATTACATGTTATACCCGACTTAAAAGTTATAAAACCAATATAAATTAATCATTTGTAATTATAAATTAATATAACTTTGATTCAATAAATTAAATAAATTGTTTTACATAGTTATGAATGTTTTGCTAATTTTTACGTTACACCAGATCGTGTCCAGTGACGGGTACTGTTTGGCTAAATCATTTTTTGCTGTGTAACAGATAGCTATAAGTTTGTGTAACGACAGACGCATGCGTTGATGATCAAAATTTTTAATATATAGATATATTGACACATCCGCCCTTTCTACTGCAAAGGCCCCATATACGTACGTATGTGTTGATCGATTTTTATATTACATACTTGTTTTATAATATGATCGAATTTTTTTAATAAATACATGTACAGTCAACCCTCTCTAAATGCATGATGTCGGGACCATAGTAAAAATTTTTAAAAATATGCATTTAGGGAGGTTATGCATTTAGGGAGGTAAAAATCTATAAGTATTATATTAGTTGGGCTCAAGAAAAGACATGCATTTAGGGAGGTTTTTCATATATATGCATTTAGGGAGGTTGCATTTAGGGAGGTCCGACTGTATATTTTAGATTAGTAACGGATTTGGAATTCTAGAAATAAACCTGTCGCACCATATGTAATTACCAGAATTGAACAGACCCACGCAGAATTAGCAAATGGTATGCAAGAACCACCATTAAGTACAAAATTAATTGAAAAAAATGTATATTAAATGAAATCGATTTAAATAGCTATAAATTAATTTTTTGTGAAGCATACAAGTTAGCTTGGAATAAGTTTAAAAAACATATCGATAGACATAATGCACTTCCTCTTTTTAGAGCAATTAGATGCTTTGACCCGAAATATATTCAATCACAAAATAGTAGGCATAACTTAGATAATTATAACGAAATTGATGAATTTGTATCACCCGCAAATAATTTAATTGATGAATGGGGAGTATATTGTGGTCTTCGAGAAATTTTTAATGAAAGTTTTGATTTAAATAACTATTGGATAGAAAAAAGCAACACATTATCTACTTTATCTAAAATAGCATTATTTTATATTTGGTTACCTGTTTCAGGTGTGGATGTAGAACGTAGTTTTTCTGCTTACAAAAATATTCTTAGTGACCGTAGATGTCTTTCAGAAAATTCTATTGTAATGTTAAATTTTTTATATTATAATTCAAATTAATAAATGTGTTTTACGAGAAAATAAAAGAAATATTAGTTATATTATTTTATCAAGTCTTTAGACTTTCAGTTTAGGATGCGGTCAAATTCAAAAGATGATATGTAATAAGGTATAATATATCTTGTCTGTTCAATCACGATAAGTTATTATACTGTATTAAATTTTAAAGTACTATTTATATGTCGCCGCAGAATTCGCAAATCTAACGGCAATCGCAGCAGAATTTGTCGGTTAAAGCAGCAGCCCCCTGGACACTCTAACCTCTGCTAATTTCTTTAGTTTCGCTTCAATTTCGTCTTTTTAAAATTAACGTTTTGATTGGCTGATCTACATGTGACACATTTCCAAATTTGGGACGGTCCTTCTTACCTCGAGTACATATTACCCGATTATCGAAAGAAAGCTCAATCCTTATCTTTTTTGTTTTCATTAGGACTTCGAGAGATTCCATGGGTTTCTTTCATCGGAAGATTTATCTTTTGTCAGGGATTTCGGAGGCTCAATCATTTCACTGGAGATCTCGACTGTCTTTCGCTTGTTTTAGGCTTTGCCCTTTACCATTACATAAAATTGTTTCTCAAAACAACTTTAGATTGGATCCAATATCTGTTAAAAGAATTACAACAATTATTAATAATGTAAAAGATGAAAAAGATCAAGATCTTATATATAAAGGACATCATGACCTTAAATCATTTCTTGCTCTCAAAGATGTTAATAAAAATACTCCAGTATATCGCGGTACTTTATATGAATATCAGACAATAGCATGCCTTAAAACGACACTTGGAATTGTCACAAGGCGAGTAGGTAAAGCTAACGATGGGGGAATAGATTTCCGAGGACAGTGGATATTACCGGATAAAAGACTATATATCGTTGGTCAATGCAAAGCCTTAGCCAAAAAATGTTCTCCAAACATAATTCGAGAGCTTGAAGGTGTAGTTTGTCAAGAAACTGAAGGAACATTATGCATTTTGTCATCAATGAATGGATTTACTGAAGGTGCTATTAAAAGATATATTGCATCACCCTTCCCTATTATGCTAATAACGGTTACAGATCATGGAAGAAAGTTAGGGAGTATTTCATGGAATAAAACAGCCGAAGAATACTTGAAAGGATTTCAAGTAACATTAAAATATGATCTTTTGAATTCAAAGCCTCTTGTTTTACATAATGGAAAACCTTTTATTTTTGATGAAGAATAACTCTAATTACCAACCTGGATGATTATTAAAAAATAATTTTTAAATGAAAGTGATAACTATGGTGCGTGCATCCGTATTATCGTTTACTATTTATTACATTTATTCGTTTTAAAAAAATTTTTTTTGTTTGGTTACAATTAGGAAACAACCAAAATAATAGACTTCATTACTGCCTAGCCTACAAGTATCTTACATGTCTTTCCATTGTAGCATTGCTGATAATCATGCATATCTTAATTATAAAGCTAAATATATAAAAAAAGGAAAATCAATAATATATATGCACGGGAGTGGAAATAATTAGTCAGTTCATAAATTTTGATTTTTTAACAATCATAATGCTGAGAGAGGTAAGAAACACTGAATTTCTTATTTGTAATTAATAATGGAATAAAATGACATGACTGAACCGCATTTTTCTTTATTAGAGAACTTAAACCATGGGATTACCTAGTTTATACTTACATTCACTGCACATATTTAAATTTATATATATAAAGTTTCCTGCATCTTTAATGCCCGTGTTTAATCACATGCACAAATATTATTGGTCAATTTGATATATTCGTTCCGTATAGAGTTCACTCTTTATAACAAATAACAGTCAGTTTGGTATAGAGAAAGGCAACTGCAGTCTTAAAAAATTATATAATTAAAAAAGAAAGAAAAAATATCATTCATCCTCTTGGTCAATTTAAATTTTATAGATGGGGCGGTCAATAGAAACCAAACAAATTATTTTTAGTAAATTTTTTTAAATTTGAATTAAAATATCTCAACAATTATTAATTCAAACTTGATAAAAATTTTTGTCTATAACATATAGAATTAAAATAAAAAAATTTTAATCAAGTTTGATTTAATAGTTGTTGAGATATTTTAATCTAAAGTTTAAAAAAAATTTACTTAGAAACAATTTTCTTGGTTTCTATTGACCACCTCCCATATTTTTTGTCAAATTATTTGTCAATGGAAGGTTCATTAATCCACGTCCAAGGCAAAAAAACTGCGCATAAACACCTTGTAGCAATTATTATTTTTAAATTATTCACAATTTATTGCAAAATTTCCAAATTAACTTTGAATATTATCATTTTTCAAGCTTGACCTGCCGGCCCTCATCATTTCATCGACCAGTAAAAAGTTACTCGCGATAACGGAACTAAAATGTCAATTTGTTAGAAATTATGATATCAACCTCCATTAATAAATGGAATTAAACATACCTTGAATGAATCATATGACGAACAACTCTATAATTATCCCAAATCCCTTCTAATACTGGATCTAGGATTTCTCCAGTATTTAAATCTATTCCAACTACATGTCCTGCTGCATATTCTTCCTATTGTTTTATAATAATCATAAATTATCTTAGCTATTATTGTACTCACAAAATTCAATAACACATCAAATAAAAAATATTAACCTGCAAATTAACAATAGTATCCTGTGCATCAAACCCTCCGTTTTGTGCTAAAACTTTTGGTATAATCAGCATTGAATCTGCAAAAGCCTGTACTCCCATCTTCGCTCGTCCTTTAACATTATCCTTGAATTTTGTTAAATGCGAACACAGTGCAACTTGAAATGCACCAGCTCCTGGTATTACACTATTGTCTTCAATTGCATTTTTTACGGCTCTTAATCCATCACGAACTGCGTCATTGATCTGTGCAATCGTATGCGCGTTAGGGCCTATTAATATAATTAACATAATTGTAATATTATCAATCGCATTTTAATCTTTTGCGTATTCTATCAACATTTATATAACAATTAATTACCCTTAATCAGTATTGTAACTGATTTAGGATTTTTAACCTCTTCAACAAATGTATATTTTTCTTCTCCAAGAATATGTTCATAAATAAGCCCTGCATGTCCGAGGACTTCAGGTGTTAAGTCGTCAACTGAATTTTGCGCGGTACCACCACAAATAAGTTGAAGTCTTTTTTTTTATTAATGAAAGAACCATTAACAATCAACCTATTTTAATATAATAACCCACATGAAACCGTATACTAACCTCTCCATATTTCTTCTTTTAGCACGCCTCAACGCCAAAATACCATTCTTACAAAGAATATCCAACGATAATGGATCAATTCCCTTTTGATTAATAACAACAAACCCTTTTTTGCTATCCCCGACAACTTGTTTCTTTAATTCGACAATCTTTTTGACTTTCTCATCTGTAAATTTTCTTTCTGATTCAACCAATTTCTCTCGTTGTTCAGCAGACGAATAGAAGAATCCGGAATTAATTTCACTAAAATAATCATTTTTATCATTGAAAAAAGTAATATAATTTTCAAGGCCCCGTTAAAGTTTAAGTGAATAGATAATAATTAACAATACCTTTTCTCATATTCCAAGGATACATTCAATGTTAGAATATATGCATCTTCAACGCGCTTTGGCATGTCAGGATGACGAGCGCCATGATCCAACACAAGTCCACGAATCAATCGCGAATCAACTCCTGTTTTATGTTGCATTTTCATAATTTCTACCATATGCAAGTCAATTGGTTCGTTATCGCGTTTAATAGTTAAAACTGCATCAACAACGGCTTCAGTTAACGTGTCCGCAAGCAAGGTATGGACTTTAGTGCGTAAAGAAGTACGAGCGACATTAACCAACAGTTCCCGATCAATGGGCCTTTCAACTTTAAATTTGTCTAAAAACTATTTTTAAAAATACTGTTAGCTGATCTGTTTTCAGACCACCATTTAAATGGGTTTAATCAATTGATTACCTCAAGCGCTTCATCTCTTGCCAGATCAAAACCCTCTGTAATAATTCTTGGATGCAGTCCTTCCGAGATATATCTTTCCGACTGTTTCATTAGTTCACCAACCAATAAAGCGATTGATGTTGTACCATCCCCAGTAATCTCATCTTGAGCGGTCGCAGCTCTTGCGATCATTGCAGCAGTAGGATTTTGTATTTGCTTAACAAACCCAAATTTTCGAGATTTGAATATTTAAATTAAATATAATGAGATTTCAAATTCCAATTGCTTATATTTACCATTTCGCTCAACAGTACTTTGCCATCCTTGGTGATCTTGATGCTACCAGCTCCATCAACTAACCTATATATATTGTGAATATCATAATTGCGATCTTCTTGAACCACCACAAAATGAAATTGGCGTGGCGTAAAACTTACATTTTAATCGTTCCTTTTGGGCCAAGATTTGATTTCAGCACTTCCTGTAAGCCAATAGCAGCTGTAATATTAAGTTGAAGGGCCTGCCCTCTTCGGGCAACTTCTGACTTTGGATTAATAAGTTGTACGGCAGCTGAAGAAGACCTACAAAAATTTAGCACATGCTTACAGTAAGAAATCTTTTTTATAATGATAGAAGCTATATTTCAAGGTATGTGTTCTCACATCTTGATAAAATTCGATATCGACTTCCTTAGTTTTACAAAACGCGAAAATATTTAACTAAAAGAATGGATCGAATAATATCGATATAAAGTTGGATGTTAGAATCATGTGATTATAAAAATTTTTTTGTGCTGCGGAGATAGTATAAGATTAACGTTTTATAGTAATGTCATTGGTGATTTCTGTTTATAGTCACGCGAGAGAGTCTTATATGCGAAGTTCTTCTTATTAAATATCCATTAAATTTAAACGCCATAAAAAATAATTCAAACTTCATTTTCATTATTATTACAGCCGTTCGAATATTTAATTGAGGCGGCAAAAACGTTAAAACTGCATCGCGAGCCGGTCATATTGGAGCATAATGAGCGTGGACCAAGAAGACTCATCTATGTGGGAGTTCATGCTCGAAGTCGTGTCTAAAGGGGCGGATAATGTCGTTCGGTGGCTTCCTGGGATCGAGGTAGTAGATATCGACGGACAACCTTTAGAACCACGCGAATATCAACCTACTTTATGGAATTTTTTATATTCTAATCATTTATATCTGGCAATCTTTGTGGTAAAAATGATCTCTTGTAATTTCGTTTTTCGTCCCTCATAACTTTTATAAATAACGTTTCTTCTCAATCTCGATCTATATGTCACAGAATGTTTTAAACAATAGAATAAACGCCATTGTCACCCCTCGTAACCCAAGACCTTTGCCAAAGACTACCCGTCTGTTCATTCGACTACCGTGTTTTTATCTAATGGCAAAGTCTTCACTTGTTCTTTTGTCGCGACTAGCGATAGGTGCTATGTGTTTACAACCGTATTTTTCACAATGGCTTTTAGATTACGGTGCTGGTTATACCGACCATCAAGCACTTTGGTTATGTTTAAAGGCATTATCTGCCGTATACGTCATGAAAGCTTTCCATTCAAGTCTTGAAAATAGAAGGCAAGAAATATATATATATATACTTTTTATTTTTAGTGAAATTATAATTCTTCATTATTATTACATATGATCTTAATTTATATTAAATTTAGTTTGCCAGGCAGGGAACAAAGCGCTACCCTATATGAATATGCCTTATTGTTTCATTACTTTTGTAATGTTTCACCAGGCCAGTCAAATACCGATTTGCTTCTTATAGCAATACTCGAAATTTTTGATATATTTCTTCTTGAGGTTCTATATCTTCACCCACGCGGAATCCAGTATCGACTCATACCTACTACTTTCATTGGTGTTGCAGGAATCAGTAAGTTGTAATTGATTTTAAAAAGTATTTGCAAACAGATTCAATCTCTAAAATTTAATTTTATCATTTGATACAGTTCACTATGCCTACGCTTTACTTTCTAAATCAGATACCTATCCAATGCTTCAAAGTTTTGCCCGTTTTCCAGAACTTGCTTTGATAGCTATTATTATAATTTGTGTTACTCTTCATGTAATTGCATATATCGTAACTGGTGGCAACGTTCGTCGAACTTTCTTCTTGGATGCTAGGTCTATGCCATCACTTCATGAGGACTATACAATGGCACTATATAGAATTGGTACTATTGTCATAGAAACTAGTCGTGTTGATGGATTTCGTAATGAATTGTCTCCAATAGCTGTTCCACTAGGTACGTTATTTGAACGTTCGAAAAAAAAGAAACCGCGATTATCTGTCGACAGTTCGAGCAAAAGAAAACCAACGTGCGGATACGATAACGAACAACAGGATACAAATGACCTTATTTCTACAGAATCTAATGGTGGTCCGCGTCGTGTAATTGTCTGGACAAATTTCGTATTTCAGATCATTCAAGTATTTGTAGAGGCTATAATGCGTATCATAAATTGGTTCAAATCATTTTATAATGGACGCCAACCAGCACCAAATAGCACACCGCAATATAACAGTAGTATTGATGGTGTCGATGACATTGATTGGGATGAGGAAATATATCAAAGATTTCTTTTTGAAGAATTCGACGAACGTGACGATGAAGATGATGACTTTACAAATGTAAAATATGAAGATTCTATAGATGATGATTCAGACCAAGATGAGGCTACCATTCCTGGCGATGAACTTCTACTATTAGGAAATGATTTAAGAGAGCATGAAGAACAGCAACCATCGACATCATTCGCTTCTACATCTACTGTTCTACCTACATCATCATCAGCTTCAACATCAAATATTTTGTCAACAATGCAATCTATTCTCACACATTTGATGTATTCCACACCTCTTACTCGTACACAATATCGACGGCTCACGCAGAACAGTATGTCATCCACGCCTGACGAGTCTGCCGCACTGTTGGCACTGATTCATGAAAGGCGAGTACCATGCGAGTTAACGTCCCAACCTATTACAGACCGTGTTTGTGTTGTTTGTCATGGGGAAGCTCGTCAATGCCTTCTTAAACCGTGCGGTTGTTTCGCGCTTTGCAATGAGGTTTGTTCAATTAATTCCTTTTTTATTAAAAAAAAAAAATTCAACTGTACTAAAATTACAATAATATTTTTCAGTGTCGTGAAACGATGGCCCAACGCAAATACAAGTAAGTTATTTATACAAAAATTAGATATTTTTGATGGTCAATTTTTTTTAAATTTCATTTTTTTTAGGACTTGCCCTTGTTGTCGTCGACCGGTTGAAGGATATTCTAGAGTTTATATTCCATAATGACATTCGAAAAAAAAAAAAAAGGAAAAAAAAAATTTAAAAATTAAAAAATTAAAAATTTAGATGGCTGTTTGTTTATACTACATATAGCACGCATGTTAAAAATATTTTTGGCAGTTAGTTTAGAACATTCGATCTTTTTTCCTTTCATGTGCTATGGCCGTAAATTCAGTTTCAGATGATTTCCCTAGTAAATAAGAAAATTATGTATGTGAGAATATCTGAAATTGGGTTTGATTATAGTAGAACTTCCAAGAATAAACAATTATCTTTTGTGCGGGAGCACATTCCCATTGATAATTTGTTAAACTTTTTATGGTATGGCCAAATTTTTATTTCAATGAATAAAAATTCGGCTTAGTCGACTGTGTAAATTTATAACGAATGGGTGATGGTGGGGGGAAACCAGGCTTCGATCATATAAATTTTATATGAGTGAAGTCTGGTTTTCCCTTGGCGTCACCCAAATAAATAATGTTTAGATCCCCTCCCGCAATATGTTTTATATATCACCAATCAATCAGAATGTTTGCGTACGTAGATAAATTTTTTTTTATTTTTATTGCTTAGGTAAGACAAGCACGGTTCTTTTGAGTATTTTCATCGTTAAACTAATACTTGTTTATAGGTCTGTGTTCATTTCATCCGTTAGAGTTTTAATTGGGATTGACTTGTTGGAGGTGGGGAACTTTTAGTGATTCTGGCCGATAATGAAAAAATCGGCAGAACGAATTATTATCGGCTTAACCAGTCGATCTTTTTTTTTCGACGTAAAACAATTAACATGGAATAAGAGCAAGGTTGAAGCAAATTTTTATTAATTTTTGAATTAAAATCGGCTAAATGACTAAGACGGCTAAGCCGATTAAGTCGATAAAATTATCGGCTTAGCCACGTCCGATAAATTATAATTGGCCAGGATCGCTAAATATGTGTTTAATCATTAATTTTAACATATTCGTCAGTTTATATGAATTCGGAGGGCGTTGCGAACAAAATGGGTTTCTAGGTAAGTCTCTATTCATGTTTTCTTGATTTTGTTCCGGGATCAGGTTGAAAAATGAATGGGTCATACGCATCATTATGGCGCAATGGTATGTTAACGAGTTTATCGTTTTTTTTTTTTTTTATTACTTTGGGAACATTACACAACGTTTATTCATACAATATAAAATACGGTGATGTTTCCGATTATATAGTTTATTAATAGTAGGATTAATTTTTGAGCCAACAGTCAACTAAGTTGACTTAGCTGTATTAAAATTATCGACTCACAGGTTTTACTAATGTCTTATGTAGCCGTATTGGTATCGATTCCAGACGCCCTTTCAATCTGTTTAATTATATCTGGTGGGGCATCATCTCCATAAACCTGTGAATTAAATACAGTGATTAATATTACAAAACAGTGTCGAATCTTTATAAGGACGCTTACTGATTTAATGAAATCGCAAAGATTTGCTTCTGGCATTTCAATTTTTGCTCTTGGTCCCCAGCGATATTCTACATGTTCCCTTTCTGGCGCTTGTGAAGAGCTATCAGCAAAGCCTGACTTCTGTTTATCCAAATATCCCTGTTTGACGAAATTCGCCAAAAGTTTTTCTGATTCAAACTTTGGATTGTTCTCAAGGTAAAGAGTACGAAAGTAATGTCTAAGTTGATCTAAATCATGATAAGAGTTGTATAACAAATAATATAAATACGTTAAATGACAGTAGTCGTATTTTATACTCACCGTCTGATAAGACGCGTCCATTTACATGGATTAAAGTAAGAATGACAGTGAGTAATCCCATAGTTTCTTGTTCACCATTTCGATCCCACTGTATCAAACTCGTGTCCCTTAATTTTTGTGGCAGTATATTTTGTAAAGCGTATGATTTTGAAGAAGATTTGTCCTTATTTGCACCACCTGTATTTTGAAATAATTTTTAGGTGCTAATAAACTAATTTTTTGTAAAAAGATGTCTTACCTCTACGCGTAGTTCCAGAACTCGTGACAGCTTTCTTTTCTTTAGCTGGCAATTCTACTAAATCCACTCCAAATATATCACGTAGACGCTCTCGAACTTTGTTCATCACTACCGTAAACGCTCTAGAGTGCTCATGTAAAACTAGAAAAAAAAGACACTGTTATCGTGATGAATCACGCGAAACATGAACTGTAAGTTTTAGTTAAATATACCCTTTCTTGTAATTTCATCACGCTTTAAAGGAACCTTGCGAAGTTCTGATGCCAAAGCAAGTCGGACAATATCTTTTACTTTTCGTTCGATCTCCTAATCGATCTATTAAATTAAAAATGGAGTAATAGTTCATAAAAAAAGAAATTAAGACACTTACTTCAGACGACAGCTTTTGAGCTGCTCTTTCTGCTTGGGATAGTACTTGACCAGAACCCTCATTCGAGGAATCATCGGAATGAGCCATTTGATAAAGGTAAATATTTTTGTGACAAACACGTATGTAGCTATATCACGCAGTTTTAGAGATAATTCTATATCACGTGAGCATGGGGGACATTCGAATCCGATGATTTCCGGTATGCGAAAATAAAATCTGTGCTGCAAAAGTTTCATTTTTGATAGGCGCAGATCATACCCTAAATTTAGATAGCGTTCTTGATGCATCATATCCCATAAAATTTAAAATTTTTCAAGAATTTGAGTAAAGATATCTAGATGGTCGCCCAACCTAATTC